ATAAAACTTAAAATAGTTTTAATAAAAATTATTCTTTATATTTAATAAATAAAATTATTAATTTTAATAAAAAAAACTGAGTGTTGGTTTTTTTGTTCCAAATTGTATCTATAGCATCAGGAATTAAGTGACATAATAGCTTCATCTCAATCAATATTATTAGTGAAAAGCAAACACAACAGACACTATCAATGATACAAGTCTGCTAAATCTAATAATGAAAGCAATGGATCCACAAGCTAGTTCCAATAATAATTCTATCAAATCACAAGTCTTGGTCTCAGCTCTGGAAGAATGTTAACTATCCAGCACTAAAGCTAATCTAAAATACATTAAGTATATATAAGATAGTAATAATTAGTAGTATAAATATGTTAACATTAATTTATAAGTTTAATTCTGTAAAGATGTTTGATATAACTTGGATATATTATATATATTAATAAAGTTTTGTATCTGATGCCCTTTTTTATGTTAATATATATATATATTTATTTAATTTAAATAATACTAAGATTTTTTTCTATAAATATACAATATAATTTTAAATAAAAAATTACATGCTTCTTAAAAATCAATATTAAATTTATTGATTTATTACAAGCTTAATGTTAATAATTTTTTTAAAATATAATTAATATACAAACTATTTTAAATTATAAAATATTTGTTAATTATACAATAAGACATCAACTTTTTTTAATATAGGTAAGCCAAATATTATTTAAAATAAAATCAATAATTAATTTTATAATATACGATTATAAAACATTTTATTGTTTTAAAATTTTATAAATGTTACTTTAATAAGTAAATAAACATAAATTGAATTTTTTGAAGTAATAAACTTATTTTTTTGTAAAGAAAAAATATTTGATTTTTTGATAAAGTTTCTGATATATATCTTATAACTTAAAATTTTTTCTTTGATATAGTCAATAAATATTTGAAATAAAGAATAAAAAAAGAAATTATTATTCTGTTGATTTGATCTCTTGCAAAGAAAAAGTTCTGATCTCTTCTAATTTTTGCTTTTTCGGCTCTGAAGATTCTATAAAATCATGTCTTGAAGAATCTTGGAATTTATTATTCATATTAGCAGGCAAAATTTTAGGATGACTGCAGTCAATCGGGTTTATATTTCCAAAAATGTCTTGGATTTTTTTTTCCTCAATTATTATAGAAAGTGAAAATCGTAATTTTGCAGGGAGTTTACTTACACGAGACCGACGCAACATTAATTCCTTCGAAAACCATTTTTTCTTAAATTCTAAAGTTAATTCCGTCTTAAATTCGAACTCTTTTACAAGATCTTTTGCGTATCTAAAGTGGGCCTTGTGTATTGGTACTTGTGAGTAATCAGGAATCTTTTTTTCCTAAGTTTAAATATATAACTTAATAATTTATACTGCTTGCATCGATGATGTTTTTCGTAATATTTAAATACCTCGTTTCTTATGTGATGTTTCCATGTAATTTCTCTAAAGCCTCGATTAGGATTACTGATGGAAATAAAGGAAACTTTTTCGCTTACTGTTTTTTCTCGATTTAAGTTTAAAATGGACGCAGGACTAAAACCATCAATTCACGTTGATAAACATTTTACTTTTGACAATGAAATCTGCATATATCCCATCTCACTATATGGAGAGGATTCTTCAACAGTAATTAAAACAGAAGTATTGTCTTGCTGACAGTTATGATAGGCTTTGAAGTTAATTTTAGCTTCAACGGGGTAATATCCTTCACCGCTGATTTTTTTAAATCGATCAGATAACATCTCTCCACCTGAAAAGTTTATTTTAGAGATCTCAAATTCTAATTTATTATCTTTATTCCCTGGATGCCACATACTCAACATAAAATGTATAGTAACTACCTGACCAATTGAATTACTGTCATTGCTAGACGTAATATTAGCAGAAGCGTTTGCGTCAATAGTTCCGTATGACATCGTAGCATTCGCGTCATTTGGGTCATCTCCACCATCTCCACCATTTCCACCATCTTCTTTTTCCTTGCCTTTGTTATTTTTGTTTAATCCATTTCCATTTTCATCATTAACTCCCTGACTTTCGTTGGAGTCACCCTTATTGTCTTTGTTATATTCCTTGCCTCCATTAGAATCATCCTTACTATCTTTATTTTCTCCTTTGTCCCTATCAGAATTATTTTCTCTTTCTCTATTATTATCTTCCTTTTCTACCCTAAAGTTTCTACTAGAGTTGTCATTATTGCTTCGTTCGTCACTATTATTAAGATTATCTTCGTCGAGTAATTGGCAAATAACAATATCTTCTGGTGGTCGTTGTAATATTTCAAAAAAATTTTTAATGGTTTGTTCGGAAAGTTCAGGTAACGTATTGACATAAAGAATGATGGAAGGCTCTTGATATGACTTTACAAAGGTAATCCCTATTCCAATCGCACTGGTTGGAAGAACATTAAAAATTTCTTCTTCGTGCAACTGCAATAATTCCAATAATTCAATATCAGATTGTCTGTGGCCTTCTACTTCACAATAAACATTTAAACCTAGTATGTTTACTTTTTTTTGGCCATTGATCTTAGTTTCATAGTTAATCCTTAAAGGATTGACGAAAAAGTCTTGCTCTGCAGGGGATGATGCCAGAGAGTCTTGTTTTATAATGGAATCTAGATTTATCTCATCAGGTTTTTTAACTTTATTATGATATAACTTGTTCTGATTTGAAAATTTGGCCAAAGTAGAGTTATTACGTACAACCTCATTTAATTCCTCTTTTATCGAATTGCTTATCTCATTTCCATGAATATACAAACAGGTCAGGGTAGTATTGTTGCATAGAGCCTCAGCCAATGCTTTTCCTGCTGATTCCGTTATATCATTCCAACTCATATTTAACACGGTCAGAGTGGTGTTCTTGCTTAAAGCCTGAGCCAGTGTTATTCCTGCTGATTCTCCTATACTATTCCAACCCATATCTAACTCAGTCAGGGTGGTATTGTTACATAGAGCCTCAGCCAGTGCTTTTCCTGCCGATTTTCCTAAATCGCAACTTTGTAAATTCAAATTAGTCAGGGTGGTGTTCTTGCATAGAACCTCAGCCAGTGCTTTTCCTGCCGATTCTCCCATAATATTCCAACTCATATTTAACTCGGTCAGGGTGGTATTCTTGTATAGAGCCTCGGCCAGTGCTTTTCCTGCCGATTCTCCTAAATTGCAACTTTGTAAATTTAAATTAGTCAGGGTGGTATTCTTGTATAGAGCCTCAGCCAGTGCTTTTCCTGCAGATTCTCCTATTTTGTTGTTATACAAATTCAAATTAGTCAGGGTGGTATTTTTGTATAGAGACTTAGCCAGTGCTTTTCCCGCCGATTCTCCTAAATTGCAACTTTGTAGATTCAAATTAGTCAGGGTGATATTCTTGCATAGAGCCTCAGCCAATGCTTTTCCTGCCGATTCTCCTATTTTGTTATTACACAAATTCAAATTAGTCAAGGTGGTATTCTTGCATAGAGACTCAGCCAGTGCTTTTCCTGCCGATTCTCCTAAATTGCAACTTTGTAAATTCAAATTAGTCAGGGTGATATTTTTGCATAGAGCCTCAGCCAGCGCTTTTCCTGCCGATTCTCCTATTTTATTGTTGTACATATTCAAGTTAATCAGGGTGATATTCTTGCATAGAGCCTCAGCCAGTGCTTTTCCTGCCATGTCTCCTATAATATTCCAACTCATATCTAACTCGGTCAGGGTTGTATTCTTGCATAGAGCGTCAGCCAGTGCTTTTCCTGCCGATTCTCCTAAATTGCTACTTTGTAAATTCAAATTAGTCAGGGTAATGTTCTTGCATAGAGCCCCAGCTAGTGCTTTTCCTGCCAATTCTCCTATACTATTCCAACTCATATCTAACTCGGTCAGGGTAGTATTCTTGCATAGAGCTTCAGCCAGTGCTTTTCCTGCCGATTCTCCTATACTATTCCAACTCATGTCTAACTTGGTCAAGGTATTATTCTTGCATATAGCCTCGGCCAGTGCTTTTCCTGCCAATTCTCCTATATTATTATCACTTATATTTAATACAGTCAGGGTGGTATTCTTGCATAGAACCTTAGCCAGCGTTTTTCCTGCAGATTTTCCTATATTATTGTTATACAGATTCAAATTAGTCAGAGTGCTATTCTTGCATAGAGCCTCGGCTAGTGCTTTTCCCGCCGATTCTCCTATTTTGTTGTCGTACAAATTCAAATTAGTCAGGGTGGTATTCTTACATAGGACCTCAGCCAGTGCTTTTCCTGCCGATTCTCTTAAATTGCAACTTTGTAAATTCAAATTAGTCAGGGTGGTGTTCTTGCATAGAGCCTCAGCCAGTGATTTTTTTATTATTTCACCTGAATAATTATATTTTAGATTCAAATCCGTCAGGATGGTATTCGTGCCTAAAGTTCCATCACATAGTTGATAAGGCAAACTTAAATCGATTGAAGTGCTGTTCTCACGAAGGGCATTAATCAATGATATTATTTTAGAAATATACTGTGTGGGTAAAGTATGCCGTCGAATTAAATAAGTTAAACGTACCACAAAAAGACATTACATACAAACGTTAAAATCATAATAGATACCTTTTCAAAACTCTTAATATCCATCGTTAACAATACAGATTCAGAATTAACGTCCACATCTATCTTAACATTCAAGGTTTTTATATATATATCAAACCTTTTTGTTAACTCATAAAAAGTGGTCTCAATTGATTTTCCCGTAAAGTAAGTTCTTAAATGTGACAGTTCATCAATAAACTTTTCCATATCATGAATATTAGTCAAAAGTTGCTGCATTGTGAAATAATTATCATGGCTATAAATTTTCATATTTTCATAATATTTATTATCTTCATTTATTCGAATTTTCAACATATCTCGCAATTTAAACTCGACAGAGTCAACCCTACATATCAAAGCATCACATATTCGTCGATTGTACTCCACGAATTTGTATAAATCTCTCATTCTCTCATAAGCCTGATGTATTTCGTTGACAATCGTGATAAACGATTTTCGACTTGCTTTTTTTGACATACTGGAAGACTATTTTATCATGAAAGTGAAGTCATCAACTAAAATTATTTCAAAACTTTAACGTTAAGTTTCACTTTGTAGGACGACCTTTTGAGTTCAGTGTAATATGTATAATTCTTTATTGATATTGGTACGGTCAACTCTCGATAAAAGAATGTACAAATAGTCTATATATGTTGATGATCGAAGCATTTATTAAAAGTAGTTACGATCATCAATCTGATACACGGATTTTCGAAAAAATCCGAACTTTTCATTTTAAACCTTTTATTTTATTAAGTATATATACTTTTGCATATTAAGTAAGTATAATATAGGCAACAAAATATATATACAGTATAGTGAAAGTTTTACTAATTTTTAACATATTATTATTGTGTTTTAGCAAATAATATATAATTGATAAATCTTTTTTATTATGGTTTATAAATTACTGAGTATTGAATTTTATATATTTATATTGAATATTTAAAAAGCTATTTAATAAATAAAATAGATATCAATAAAAAATTTTATTTCAAAATTTTATTATTAATTTATAATTATAATTCTTGTAAAAAGTTTTTATTTTATTATGTAAATTGACCTTAATAGATTAAATAAACTTATTTTTTATAATGGATTATATTCATAATAAATATTTTTTAAAAAATTTAGTAAAGCTATTAGATTATAATATGTAACTTTAAAATAAATATAAATTATTAAATAAATGATAGTTTTATTCAAATTTAGCAAAAATTTTACTGAATATAAATTTTGTTATTAGAAATATATTTATTTAATTGATTAAAGTTAATTTAAATGATAAAATTAGAAAATGGAAACTATTGTAAGTCCAAAGCTAATAATTATGTGTTAATCATAAAAAAAACCATGCATTACACAAGCGTGACAAACAGAATCTACACATGACCTCTATTTTCATCAAGGATCATAAACATAAAATGTCCTTCACTTTGCTTTGGACAATTAAATATTTTATATAAAAATATTATCACAAATCAATTATACAGTTTGGGACAAAAAAACTGGCACTCGATTTTTTTTATTAAAATTAATAATTTTTTTTATTAAATAATTTTTTAAAAAAAACCAAAAAAAACTCTCTCTTGATCACGTCCGTTTTGTTAAAAATTTTCCTTTTATGGTAATTTTAAGTAAGAAAAAATATTTTACAC